CCCCAAAACCCCAAAACCCCAAAACCCCAAAACCCCTTTTAAAAGTTACTAAATTGGAAAATTTATGTTCAAACTAAATGAATTAGATGAAATATAAGGAAGAGATTTCTTTAAGTCTTCTGTGGAGAGCGGTTTATTGGAAGGAACTTCTGTATTTAGTAGGCTCACTGACGTTCAACATTAGGTCGGAGAATTTAGTGACGTATTAGACGAGGGAAGGGACTCTGATAGACCCGCTTAAGTTGAAATAGGTGAACATTGTTTGTAGGTCGGAGCGTGGATTTATGATGGGGAGATATTTGTATTGTTGAAGCAGTTTAGGTAGTGGGATGGTACGGAGGCTCCTTGGATGGTCCGTTGGCTGATTAGGAAGAATGTTTTGTCATCTTATGTCATGCCGGTGTTAACAACTGTCCCAGGATGACAGTTTTGTAAATCGCTATGTGATTTTCGGAATAGTTTTACATTGATTCTTTTCATACTGGTATGTATGCTAGTTTTGTATTGAGCCCTTTTTTTTTTATTAGTTCAATGATAGCAGAGACTTCAAAGAGTTCTGTTTCCTTTCTTCTTAACCCTGAGACTCCTTCTCAGTACATGATAATATTTTGAGGATATTCTCCATTTTCTTTTTATACTTTTCTAAAGCAGTTCCCCCCATTTCTTTCAAAGTATTTGAAATATTTTTCGTATTCTCTCTTGATCTTTTGCCACCAAATACTTTTGAACTGGAATAATATTTAGTTCATGGTTTATCTTTTGAGCTAATAAAGCCAATTACTCCAGACATGTTTTTATTCTTAACTTCTTGTACTGCTAGTCCTCATACCATCGTCCCATTTTGCACAGTTGGAAGCTCTGAGATACTCCAAGGAACACCTCCAACTTTCTCACAAATTTGAATAAGGATTTTATTGTAAATAGATCTCAAGTTCTTGCCTTTCGATATTGTACTTGTGAGAACAACTTGGGAGAGAATAGGAATTTGTTCAACATCAATTCTTTGATGTCATGATACAGAGGATTATTCTTCTTACTTCCTGGTAACAGTAAAATAATTAGATCAGCACCATTCTTTAGTTTTTGATCTAATAAAAACTTCCAATCTTCAAAATTTTGAGTTTTTCACGGGGTTTTGGGGTTTTGGGGTTTTGGGGTTTTGGGGTTTTGGGGTTTTGGGG